ATTTTAATTTGAATATACAAAAAATTTCACCCTTATCCGTTCCGGGTTTGATTTTATTAAACGCACCATCTGCTCGTATAAAACACGCCTCCTAACCGGCCGCTCGCCCTGGACCCGACTTTTTTTTTAATGAATTATTTAATTAAAATATGTTTAAAATTAGTATTTTATAATATATAAATTAATAAAAATATATAAATGGTTGGATACGGGGTGGATAAGGGTGCATTTGTTGAAAACTCGTACCCACCCCGTTCCCACTACGGATGAAATTTTTAAAACCCGTATCCCCGTACCCACTATGGGTGAAATGTTTAAAACTCGTACCCGCCCCATTAGCTAACGGGGCGGGGTGGGACTGGTTAAATTATCATCCCTAATTTGGTTCGAGTTGACAATTGAATAGATTCGTGTATTCTTTTTTCTATCTTAATGTAGTTGGATATTTTTCTTTTTTTAATGTTTTAGAAATAATTTAAATGAATTTAACCTAATTAGTTTGCATTTTCAAGTGCATCTCATCTTCAAATATTCATATTTTTAAATCATTAATTAAATTTATTTTATATTTTTATATTTGTTTGTTTTCTTAACAAGACAATGCATATGATGAACCAAATCACTAACCTTTTTTTTTTTTTCTTATTTTTCAGATTTAATTAACAAAATAAAAACTTCAATCAAAGAAATATCGAATACTTGAGAGTAAATTCATCCAAAATATTTATCATATATTAATGCATTAATTTCTTACATCGAAAACATTAATCCGATTATTTAAACATATATTTATCGAAAAACATTTCAAACTTTGCAATCGATCTCTGAGCATTCTCCCAAGCAGCTCTTCCATTGATCCAAACCTGTCATAATAAATATTGTTCATCAGCATGCAAAATTACTGTTATACCCTCATTTCATACACAAGTCATATGAGAGAGAGAGAGAGAGAGAGAGAGAGAGAGAGAGAGAGAGAGAGAGAGAGAGAGAGATTAAACCTTTGATTTCGGAACATTTAGCGATCGTACATCCGACATTACAAACGAGGTCAAAGAAGAACCCTCGGATATTTGCAATTTGGTGTACAAGCACTGCAAGCCTTTGACAACCAATTATACATCCATAATTAATTGGAGTAGAATAACAGCCACTTGCACAATCGAAGTAGCACTGGCTATACGACCGCTTTATCGAGGCCACTCGACTATTATCCGATGCGAAAACTAAGTTCGCCAAAATCATGAATATTGCTATTCTAAATAACAATTTTTCCTTCCATTTTTCTTTTCCGGAATATACTCTTCGAAATATTTGAATTTTGTTCTTGTGAGTCGATTTCTCTCGGACAATAACACGAAGGTGATTTATAGGAGACGAGTGCATACTAGGTTAGGTAATTTAATTATTAGAATCTAATGAGTTTTATGAACATACTATATATATTATTTGACAGAAAATATTTTTCTGGATATATATAAATATATAAAAAATTTAGTAACTTACACTGATTTTTCTTTTTTTGGATTGTTGAGATTTGTTGGATTATAACAATTTATGATGAAAATTTTGGAAATTGATTAATGAAATAATAATTGATTAATGGATAATCTCATCCAATATTTTATTAATGAAGACCATGTTTTGAACAATTAAAAAAAAAATTAACTCATTTTCGAATTTCCCCTTTTGAAATTATCCATAAACTCCATCCACCTACTAAATAAGAAAAATATATGATCTCGTATGATTTTGAGTTATTGCACGAGAGTGGAGGTATACACAGCTGCCCACCTATATGGTTTAGTTGTCGGTTCCTTCAATTAAAAATAATAATGAAAAAAAAATTAAGACGAAAATATGTGAGATTATGTGTGTCAAAATAAGATTCTTAGTGAATCAATGAATATTTGTGACTTGTGAGAAAGAAATAGAATGAGATTCTCCGTTTGCAGTGAATTACGTTTGTTAATTACATGATTGGAACTTTTCGAATTGAATTTTTTTTAGGGAATTTTTTTAATTCACTTACTATATAAAATCATAATTATATTGAAATTTTACAACTAATATTTACCAAAAAAAATTAATGTAAACTAATATTTACGTCATTTGCATGCCGGTGGTGAAGTACTAAGGCAAATGTGACTATGTGATCGCGCATCTCCATTTTTTTTTTCTTCTCGATAAATTCTAAGATTTGAAAATTCCTCGTTAAATAATAGATTATTGTGATGTATATCGTCGTGAATAATTATTGAAAACATTAATCAAATATTGATTTATAGAATGCATAAACATCGAAAA